AATATAAATTTAGTGTAAATATATATATATATATATATATATATATATATATATGAGATACAAAAACGATTTATTTTCAGAAAGACTGTAGATTTGCAGTATGACAAAAATAGAAGTGGGACATTGATCAACTGAAAGGTGCATTGCAACGCATCTGGCACTTCCATTGTAGACTGTTTTGTGGAAGTGATCTACTTTTCAATGTGCTGCACACGTCCCTGTGTAGACCCTGTAAAATGTAATGTAAACCTGATCAAATGAGAGTATTAAGCTGTTGTTTTTTTGCAGAGTTCTCTGAGGCAGCTGCAGCAGGAACTGGCTGACTGTCTGAAGAAGTTGTCCATGTGTGAGGCTTCTCTGGAGGTCAACACACGGTACCGTAATGATCTGGAGGAAGAGAAGGCACGCACGCTCAAGGACATGGACAGATTGAAGGGAAAGGTAACCATTAATCTTCTTATACTTCCTGAAAACCATCCGATCAGCTTGGTGTCAATCATTAAAAGTGCAATCTGTATTTAACTGGAGTAGCTTCATTCTCAGGAACAATAAATGTTAATTTATTGATTTCAGCAATATAAATAATTGGGGTCACCACACTACAAGTCCTTTCGTTTGAGTTGTTTGCTTTTATACTTTGTTTGTGTTCAATTGCAGCTGCAGGAGTCTGAGGAAGTGTACGTCCAGGCCGAGAGACGCATCAGCCAGCTGAAGAGCTCTCTGGACGACAAGGAGCGAGAAGCCTGCAGTACCGCTCAGAAACTAGGGGAGGCGCTAGCTGCTTCCACAGGCAAAGAGCAAACCATTAAACAGCTGGAGGAGGCAGTGCAGAGGTACCATTAATTCTGTAAACTGGGTCCACAAACACTCACTCATTGACTTCATATGATACATGTCACACGGTAACAACAATGGTACTGATATAAGTGACGTGAGGAATTAAAATCACAGTTTATTACAGAAAAAATTGTCTGTATGCATATATATATATATATATACTGTATATCAAGTCAATATATCTCGTGAGTATATTTCTTGCAATTCTGACTTGATTTCTTAGAATTGCGACTTTATTTCACGCAATTGTGAGCTATAATATGTAACTCCCAATTGTAAGACAATAGTCTTTTCCCCTCAGAATTAGACTGTATAACTCGCAATTGCGATTTTATATTTAAAAAAAAGTCAGAATTGCAAGAAAAAAAGTCAGAATTGTGAGATAAATAATATAATAAATTTGTAAAAATAAATAATAAATAATACAAAAATTTATTCAGTGACAGAAGCGGGCTTCCCTAGTAATTCCATTTTCACAAAAATGATTTGAAACTTTAAAGTAGACACTTTACTTGTATTTAGGGATGTAACGATTCACTCAACTCACGATTCGATTCGATTCGCGATTTTGATTTCACGATTCGATTAAATGTGTCCTTTTATTATTGCTTGGACAAAATATTGTACGTTTCTTTGTGAAATTGAAATATAACACTATAATAATATACTAATATAGCACTTGTATATTATTGCTCTTTTGTTGGTTTTGATTGCTTCTATTGTCCTCATTTGTAAGTCGCTTTGGATAAAAGCGTCTGCTAAATAACAAAATTTAAATATAATGTAAATGTAAATAACAAAATTTAAAAATGAAACTAAAACTGCCAGTAGGTGGCGGCAAGTCACTGATTTGACCACTGAATAATTCATTCAATTGATTCGTTTTACATATCTAAGTAGTAATATATTGCATAATATTAAGTTATTGAATATGAATATTATATGAATATATTTATATTCAAATAATGTCATTTAGTGCATGCCATTAAGTTGTTGTATATTAAATTTACATTAATTTAATTTGAACATTGAATGAATGCATTTATATTCATATTTACATGTTTTTGCATAAAGAATATTCTATTATAATAATATTATTAATATAAATATTTTATTAATATATTTATATTTACATATTTAAGTAGTAATATATTGCATAATTTATTGAATGTGAAAATTATATGAATATATTAAGATTCATGTTCAAATTCATATAGTAGTGCATACTATTAAGTTAAGACATTTACATTAAATTAATATTTATATTATTTAATTAAAATGAATGTCTTCTAAATATATTTATATATTTAACTATTAATTTGTTACATAATATTAAAGTATTTAATTGGAAATTAAAAAATGCATTCAAATGAAGCACTGTGTTCCTCCTCTTACATCCATCAGCTAAACAACACAAAGTGTCCATCATTATTAACTGTAATCATCTACTAAAATATCTGTTCATTAATGTGTGAAAATGGTTCATGTGATTATGATATATCTACAGGTTAGAGATCGAGAACGCCAGACTGGAGGCCACAGCCAAACAGCAGACCAACCGCATCGAGGTGCTTCAGAAGGGCGTTCAGGAGGGCGCTGTGGTGAGTTCTCTCAAATATCACTCATTTAACCACTAGTTTGTGAAGAAGAAGTGTCCTGACTCAACTGATAATGGTAGATTTTGACATTAATCCTGACAGAGCCTCGTTTTACCCTCTTAAGTCACCTGAGCTTCACTTTAGTTGAACTCTGTTTAATTGTGCCAGTGCAGAATGAGCTGACTGTACATGTGAGTCGGTTGGAGAGGAGATTTCATGTAAACTGATGGTGTAGTCATTCTTTTCACAGCGATCAGGCTCATCACCTGGAGAAGGGGTTGGTATCAAACATCTAGCTGTGATTCTAGCAGTTCTTTCTTTACTGTGAATTACAGCTCTTCAGGACTTCAAATCTCACTGTGATTTACACTTGAAATGAACAAGAAACAAAAAAGTGTCTGTATTCTTTATTGCTTTCCTTTAGTTTGGTTGTTAGCGGGGTATTTTCTCTGTTTTGGTGGTGGTCTGTTTGCGGATTTGTTTTGATTTGCATTGATTGTAAACTCTTTCTACCTTCTGCATTTCTGGTTTCTGAGATCTAAAGTAGATCTAGATCAGCATGAAGTACTTTGCTGAGAGAGTGATCAAGGCCCTGTTGTGTATTGACATCTGTGATTGTTCTCAGGTCAGGAATCGTTTGGGAGATATTGTCACAAACCTGCAGAGCAGTAAGATGACGCTAGAAGAACAACTCAACCGAGAGGTGAACTTTATGACAAACATGTGTCACGTTGAGCTTCAAAGTGCATCTAAATGCAATAGATGAAGAGAGGATAGATTGAGAACATTTCAGTTTATTCATAGCAGTGTTATTTTAGTAAATTACTATTAATATTTTAAATTAGATTTTATTTTTAGGTTTTCTGATTCATTTTAATTTTAGAGAGTTTTAGTAATGTTGTTATTAAAATAATTGTATTTTTAGTTGTAATTTTTTTAAAATATGTATATATTTTTTTAAATTTAATTTTAGTACTTCACCTTCATGAAAATGGGAAATGTTGTTGTGGCAACTAGCTAAAATAAAATAAGTTTAATTTGTACTTTAAAATTTTTTAAATTTATTTAGTAATGAAAATGTTTTATTTTTTTTAATGTTTTAGTCTTAGTTTTAGTTAATGATAATAGCCCTGTTTCGTAGTGCTACAGGAAAGTATATTAACTATTTGTTTAATTGAGGTTCTCCTCTCCAGGTACAGAAGCAGAGTATGCTATCCCACAATGCCCAGGACTCACAAGCACTGTGGGAGGAGGAGCTAAAGAGCCGCTCACGACTGGGACTCCGCCTCTCTGAGCTGGAGAAAGAGAAAGGAGAACTGACCAATCAGGTGCCAGAAAGACACAATGTCCATCCGAAATATGTTACATTAAATTACAACAAATGATACTTTTCAACAAACATAACGTTTGCATGTTCACAAGTGGTAAAATGTTTAGTGACTTAATCAAAACAGCTCGATTAGCACATGAAAATAAATAATTTACATGTAACATGTCCATGAATGTTTGTTGCTTTAGTTTGAAATGTGTATATAAATGCACTATTTAAAAGTTTGGGGTCTATTTGAATGGAATAAATTAATACTTTAGCAAAGATGCATTAAATTGATCAAAAGTAACAATAAAGACATTTATAATCCCAAAAATATGAAGCAGCACAACTGTTTTCAACTGATAATAATCAGAAATGTTTCTTGAGCAGCAAATCAGCATATTAGAATGATTTCTGAAGGATCATGTGACACTGAAGACTGGAGTAATGATGCTGAACATTCAGCTTTACATCACAGGAATAAATTACATTTTAAACATATTCAAATAGAAGAAGTTATTTTACATTAATTGTGTAACAATATTTCACAATATTACTGTTTTTGCTGTTTTTTGATCAAATATTTCAGCCTTGGTGAGCAGAAGAGAGCTCTGTCAAAAACATAAAAAAATTGCACCGGTCCCAAACTTTGAATGGTAGTGTATGCACTATGCATAGGGGAAAATATTGTTTAAAATATTATTAGATGAAGTATTTAATGTCACACAGTGGAACACACGCCAAAATGGTTTGAAATGTCATGTCAACAACCCAAATATTGTATTAAACCTCTATTATTAAGCTTTTAAGAACAAGAGTGTCACCTGCATCCTCTCTCTGTGTTTCAGATGGAGCTCGAGAAGAAAAAGGCCAAAAAACTAGCCGAGCAGAAGAAATCTGTGGACACGCGTCTGGAGCAGGAGATGAAGAGAAACACTGACCTTCAGAAAGAAATGTACAGGTGACCCTTTAACCTTTAACCCCGACCGCTGCAGCTCTACACCTGTAGACGTGTTTGAGTACTAGAGAAGCCGGCAATGCGGATCCTCCTGCTTGCGAATCTGTGAGATACATGCATGAAGTGCGTATGGCTTTTTATATCTTACATTTGTTTAATTCACAGAGGACTGACTCCAAGCCTGTCTTTTTTGCTGCTGTAGTGCTGTAGAATAACAAATCCATGTGTAGTGCTAAAGACCTTGATACAGCATTTGAAAAGTGATGTATTTCCATGTTAATTAAATGGTGAAGATAAGAGGGATCATTTGAAAACCAAGTTGTTTCACTGGTTGAGCAGGTTATTTCATTTTAGTGAAAGATTATAAAAAAATCACAATCACAAGACCTTTATGTTGACCAATATATACAGTATATATTACTTATATACTATCATATAATTTATTAATATTTTGTATATGTTTATATTTATTGATAATAGCCTTTTGTTTTTATATTTTCATATCTCATTTTAATTTTAGTTTAATGTCCCCCTGTAATCAAATATTTTATCCTTTAAAACTTATCTTTGATCATCAAAATGACATATTTAAATGTTTTTTCTTGTGAAAATAATTTTCTCATGCCTTAAAATAGCTTGAATGTAACTCTACACCCTTGCCTCATTTACTATACGCTGATCTATGAATATGCAAATTAGTCCCGCCTCTACTCAGTCACATCAGCCAGCGCCTCCTGATCCACTGAACTGTAGTAAACACAAAACAATGGCATACACGGATAATGACTGATAAAACTATCTTTTTACTAGCGGACAACTACAGTGAATACTGTAACATTCGTTAAAGTTACTTACTTGAAGATGTTGTGTCCTAAAATGCCTTGAAGACTCAATTACAGCTGTTTGTGATGAGATGGTCCTCACTGCAGAACACAAGATCCAGGGGGCGAGGTTGGATCCAGATCCAACTCCTCCCACCTTACATATACCTAAACCTACCCGTCTCCACCCCCTGATCCCTAAACCCACCCATCTCCTACCCTAGATGTGGATCCAACCCCGCCCCCTGGATTTATGTTCTGCAGTGAGGGGCTACTGTTTGTGATTGGTAATTCGCGCCCGCGAGCATACGCGTGTGAAATGCAGACGCCGATGCGGGAGAGGTGGGTCTGACTCCGGGCTACTTTTACACTGTTGCCACGGGTTATAATGCAAGTTAGCGGTTCTAAATTCACATTAAACCACAGCTTCATGGGTTTTTTGCTTTAATTTATTTTTGGTTTTGTGCTGGTATTGTTATATTTTGCATGCTAGTGAAGGAATCTATCCCTTGACGTGATTGGTTATTGGATTGTGACGTAGCAAACCGAGGGCTGTTTCAAACCGCATTTCTGGGACTGCCATTGGGAAACTACAGTTTTAAGGAGAAAATACTCAGCAATGGTGTTGATTAATAGATTGGCACATGGTTTGTCTAAAAGTATATTAAAAACACCACAAATAAACAACATAAAAAACTTGATTTTCACTACAGGGGGACTTTAAGTAATTTTATGAGCTATTGTAATTTTTTAGCTTGTATTAAATAATTTAAAAAATTGATATCTATCTATCTATCTATCTATCTATCTATCAAAGGGATAGTTCACCCAAAAAATAAAAATTCTGTCATTAATTACCTTCATTGACATAAGTACCTATATCTCATGGTTTAATTGACTTCAAATGCAAGCAGAACAGTGTTATTTTCAGTATTATTTATATACTCTATTATAATATGTATTAATATATTGTATATATTAATATTTATTAATAATAAGCTTTTGTTTTCAGTTAATTAAATTTTAGTTTAAGTAATTATTTGTGTGCTTTCATAATTTTTATTAGTTTGTAAAAAATATTTCTATTTAGCTTGAATTATTTATTTTTTGTTTTAGTTTTAGTCATTTTAGAACTTATTTTAATTTAGCTGCTAAGCCAGCATTTCTAATTCTTCATTTAAGTTTTGCATCTAATATATTTTATTTTATTTCAAATTTATGAAAAAAAGTAATGGTTTTAGTTTTAGTTAACAATAACAACACTGATACAGAATGTCTCTAATTTCAGTATATCTTACTGTGTGTGTGTCAGGTTGAAAACTCTGTTGAAGACTGCTAAGAAGCAGCTGCGTGAACAGGGCGGTGGACAGCTGGACTCTCCTCTGGGCAGCTTCAGAGGAGACATGAGCCACCGGCTGGAGGCAGAGAGCGCCGTCAGCAGAATGAAGACCCGGGTACAGTCTCAGATTTAGGATTTTACAGACATTTGCAAAAAATTTTGTCATATTTAAGACTGTCAGATCAGATTAAAGTATGCAAACTTGATTGAGTCTCTGATTTCCTCCTTTTCTGCTTGTCTCTAATCCTGTGGTCACCCTTGCTCTGGCGCAGGTGGATGAGCTGCAGTCTCAGTACGAGCGGGAGGCGTCGCGCTGCTCGCGGCTGGAGGAGGTGAACAGACAGCTGAAGCTTTAAGTAATTTTATGAGCTATTGTAATTTTTTAGCTTGTATTAAATAATTTAAAAAATTGATATCTATCTATCTATCTATCTATCTATCTATCAAAGGGATAGTTCACCCAAAAAATAAAAATTCTGTCATTAATTACCTTCATTGACATAAGTACCTATATCTCATGGTTTAATTGACTTCAAATGCAAGCAGAACAGTGTTATTTTCAGTATTATTTATATACTCTATTATAATATGTATTAATATATTGTATATATTAATATTTATTAATAATAAGCTTTTGTTTTCAGTTAATTAAATTTTAGTTTAAGTAATTATTTGTGTGCTTTCATAATTTTTATTAGTTTGTAAAAAATATTTCTATTTAGCTTGAATTATTTATTTTTTGTTTTAGTTTTAGTCATTTTAGAACTTATTTTAATTTAGCTGCTAAGCCAGCATTTCTAATTCTTCATTTAAGTTTTGCATCTAATATATTTTATTTTATTTCAAATTTATGAAAAAAAGTAATGGTTTTAGTTTTAGTTAACAATAACAACACTGATACAGAATGTCTCTAATTTCAGTATATCTTACTGTGTGTGTGTCAGGTTGAAAACTCTGTTGAAGACTGCTAAGAAGCAGCTGCGTGAACAGGGCGGTGGACAGCTGGACTCTCCTCTGGGCAGCTTCAGAGGAGACATGAGCCACCGGCTGGAGGCAGAGAGCGCCGTCAGCAGAATGAAGACCCGGGTACAGTCTCAGATGCAAACTTGATTGAGTCTCTGATTTCCTCCTTTTCTGCTTGTCTCTAATCCTGTGGTCACCCTTGCTCTGGCGCAGGTGGATGAGCTGCAGTCTCAGTACGAGCGGGAGGCGTCGCGCTGCTCGCGGCTGGAGGAGGTGAACAGACAGCTGAAGGAGAAGCTGTCGTCTGTGAAGAGCCTGAGCCGAAGCCACGAGCAGCTGGAGCGCAGCAAGAGGCAGCTGGAGGAGGAGGTGGCCAGTCGGCGGCGGCAGCTGGAGGCCGGTGTGATGGACCAGAGCCAGGCCGAGCAGTACCGCCGGGAGACGGAGGAAAGAGCCCGACAGGAGATCCGACACAAACTAGAGGAGGTCAACCTCTTCCTGCAGGTACACAACAAGAGTCAGAGACTCAACATGCACCAGAACACATTCACTTTAACCTTGTGTTTATTGTTGTTACATATTTGTGTGCAAAGTCCAAAGTAAACGATCGTTAAGCACCAAATATAAGTGAAAAAGCAAGTTAATACAAAACCGTTATTGGCCCGTTTCAATCGCATAATGCGAAAATGATGTTCCTTTGCTTCTTTATTTTATTTTTTATTATACATTACGTACAGTTTTTAGATATAAAATATTATTTTAAAAACTGTTATTGTTATTATAAAAACTGTTACTGTTATTTTATTATTTATTTTATATATCTAAAATATATTATTTTATTAAATAATTATAATAATTGTATTTTTTATAAAGTTTTAGACACTGTTTCACGCAGGCATTATATTTTATTTTATTATAGTTTTTTCATTTATTATTTTAGAATTTTATACATTTTTTAAAATATAAAATGTATTATTTTATAAAGATAATTATAATTATTTTGTTTATTATAAAGTTTTAGACACTATGTTTCACATAGGCAGCATTTTATTTTATTTATATAATTTTTTTATAATATATATTTCTAAAATATAACATAATTATTATTCTTTTGTTTATTGTAAAAAGTTTTAGACACTTTTTGTATGTTTCGTCAGACGCAGGCGGCGTCTCAGGAAGCTCTGGAGCAGATGAAAGCTGCTAATGAGGCCAGTCAGCGCACTCAGCAGGAGCAGCGCATCAGGGATCTGGAGGGAGAACTCAGCCGTTTACGCAGCATTCAGCAGGACAGTCTCGTTCAGAGAGACTCCAGCCACACAGAGTTGGAGCGCTACAAACAGCTGTACAGCGAAGAGCTCCGCCTCCGCAAGAGTCTGGCTGCCAAACTAGAGAGGTGAGAGGCATCATGGGAGCCTGTCCTCAGAATTATATTTAGAAATATATCTTAATTATAACCACAGGTTAATGACATTTTTCAGATTTAAAAAAAAATAGTTTAATGGTGATTAATGGCAGTTAATTATTTAAAAGCATATCAGGCACAGATATGCTGGTGTCCCTCAGGGTTCTGTTTTGGGCCCACTGCTATTCATCTTCTATTTACTCCCTCTTGGCCATATTTTCAGGAAATATTGTATCCATTTTCACTGCTATGCCGATGACACCCAGCTCTACCTGTCTTCCAAACACTCTAGCTCTTTTCCTCCACCTTCCTTGACCAGATGTTTAGCTGAAATTAAAGATTGGCTTTCAGCCACTTTCTAAAACTCAACAGTGATAAAACTGAGGTCTTGCTCATTGGTACAAGATCTACTCTCAACTCTGACTAAATCTGATTGTTTTTCTGTGGATATTGATCATAATGCAGTTTGTTCTTCTCAGCAGGTCAGGAGTCTGGGTGTCATTCTGGATATCACACTGTCCTTTGAAGCTCATGTTAATAATATTACGCGTACTGCATATTTCCACCTGCGTAATATTAATCGTCTCCGTCCCTCTCTCACAACGAATAATACTGTTGACCATGGGTGTTTAGAAAGGCACCATTAAATAAAATGCATTATTATTATTATTATTAAATTCACCTAGTAAAACTAAAAAAAAAAAAGGTAAAATGTAAATAAATATTATTTCAAAACATATCAAGGTGGTTCCAAAAATTGTAGTTTTAGTAAGTAAAACTAAAAATAATAATACAAATGAATTAATAATATAAAAGTCATAAAAATAAATAAATAATTAAATATTATTTCAAAACATATGAAGGGAGACACACAAAATGATTAATTAGCCACATAAAAATTTTTTTTAAATAAAAATACAAATAAATTAATTAAAAAAAAATCGTAAAATTAAATTCTATACATAAGTAATATTTCAAAACATATCTCAAAAACATAGTCAAAGAAAATTGATATATTTACCAAGCATAACTAAAAATAATAAATACAAATAAATTAATTAAATAAAATATAAATAAAAGTCTCAAATCAATCAGTCAATCAATATTATTTTAAAGCATATCAGGGGAG